GCAAATGCAAAAACCCCGGGATTTTGCATTTGCAAGGTACAAAGCTGCGGCGGCAGATCGCGCGTGCTGGAAAGGGCTTGACTGTATTACGGGGAGAGAGAGAGAGAGAGAGATCATAAGAACGGCTCTTGCTTTTTTCTTGCAAGGGAGAGAGTGACTCCTGCCTCCCACTGTCATCATCATCTTCTTTTGGGTTAGTGAATCAATTAAACCTTTCATGATAGTGATATCGTTTCCCAAATTTCCCTTAAATCAGGGAAGAAATCACAAAAAAAACTTTGGACTGAGAATAAGCCTGTTCCTACGATGCCATTTTTGTTCACTGCAGTGTGAAAAGTGTGAAAAAACACACTTCTTTTTCTTCATCTTCTTGTTCCCTATTTACTGGTCTCTTTCAAAGAGGAAATTGTGAACATCAAACTTATTCTCAACTGTCCTATTGAAAGTTTTTATTGGTATCTATTTTTATTTTTGAAATTTACCAGTAGCTGCTGCATTTCCCACCCTAGGCTTATACTCGAGTCAATAAGTTTTCCCAGTTTTTTGTGGTAAAATTAGGTGCCTCGGCTTATATTCGGGTTGACTTATACTCGAGTATATACGGTACTTCAGTTTATTTTGATAGTGATTTTACTTTATTTTGTTCTAAACCATTAGAACAAAATTATTTTGTTATTAATTGATTATAATTCAGCAGCATACACTGCAACCAATCAATGCCTCATCTAAAACTCCAGATTCATAAGCATCCAAATACTGAGCACATATATATTTGGTTTACTGTTACAGGATGCTTCATGTTCACAGTATGCTACTGCAGATTATTTTATTGCTCGTCATTATGCCTGATTTTATATCACAACATATGTCTTCTAGATTGAAAGTGTATACATATGAAATGCAGGGATATATATTCAATATTTTACCAGATTGGATAATTTTTGCTCGACAGGTCAATTACATTCTGAAAATTTAATTTATTAATTGCACTGAGGTCAAAACACAAAATAGTAATAGCACTCAAGATGTACCTTTTAAAAAATATTTTAACATTAAAAAAACATGTTCTTTTTAGCAAGTGATGCTCTGCACATTATAAAATTCCAAGTAGCATTTTCAAATAGAAATCAATACAATATCCACAGAGGTAATTTGATTGTTGACTGATTATGTGTGTGTGTGTGTGTGTGTGTGTGTGTGTGTGTGTATGTATATATAAACTATGTTTGTATCACCTGCATATCAGTTTCGCATTAATTTGTGCAATGAAATGTTTTATAAGTTGTGACTTATAATCTGTGATGTAATCCTTATACATATTAATTCCCAGGATTCTATTTAATGCAGTTTATCAAACTTACATTTGGCATCAGAAATACTATGATAAGGAGACCACACAAGCATTCCTCCATTGTCTTTATCTGTGTATTTTGTAGCTCCTGAAAGACAAGTAATATATTCAGTACTTCAAATAACAGTTAATCAGATAATAAAAGCATTAAAATTTATTAAGTCAAAGGAAGTATAATCTAATATTTTATTGTTAATATGCAATTAGACAAAACTATCCTGTATTTTTCACCTTGTAAGTAATGAAACAGAAACAATGGAAACTTGTTCAAGTAGCATAGGCTGGAATTCACTCCAATGAGAACTTTGCTTTCAGAAGTAACCAATCTTGATACAACTACAATAATTTCATATGCTGAGCATTTAGAATAATAAATTTAGTTCTTATCCCTATTAGGAAAAAGTTACCTTAAGGTAAAGCTCTTAACACCATGTCAGGGAAGGTATAGCTAATGTGCATGGGAGATAGCTATTATCATCTATCTTTGCAAAATAATTAACAAGAGAGGTGAAAGAAAAAAAATAAATCTGAAATACAAACGGAACCTCTTACTTATTGTCCTATGAGGTTGTGGAATATATTGCATTATTTACATTCATAAGAAACTGCTTCTCAAACTATTGTTGTAGCATGTAGCACCTTCTAGATCAGCGGTCGCCAACCGGTGGGCCGTGGAAATTTTTTGCTGGGCTGCAGAAGAAATGGCCCCCAAAAGCAATTAATCTGGGCCACACAGTTCTCTCGCCTCCTGGCTCTTCTAGGGACCCGAGAGTCAGGTCCCTGAGATGCATGCACCAACCAGCTCCCACATGCGGCGGTGGTGGCAGCAACAACAGTCCCCACCCCCAGCGCCCACTGTTAGCTTTCCCTATTAGATCTCTAGCTTTGAATTGCTTCCTCCTCTCTTTCCTTCCCCCTCTCCCCCACGTGCAGGCAGGAAAGGAAAGGGAGACAGAGTGCAGCTCTCCGCTTTTCCAGCCCTCGCTGCCTCTCCCAACATTGAAGCCTCGGAGACACAGGCAAAACCATCGCAGTGGTAGCATCCTGAGTTGCCTTAGCATGCTCGGTTAGTTAAGAATCGCCCTACCCAGAGAAAGAGGTGCTGGAGGAGGAGAAGGAGGAGGCAGTAGTGGAGAAGCAAGCAACTCAAGGCGCTACCACTGTGGCGGCTTTGCCTGCGTTTCCGAGACTTTGATGTTGGGAGAGGCAGCAAGGGCTGGAAAAGCGGAGAGCTGCGCACAGCTCCGTCTCCCTTTCCTTTCCTACCTGCACGTGGGCATGGGGGGGGGGGAGGAAAGAGAACTGGGAGCAATTCAAAGCTAGAGAACTAATGGGGAGAGCTGACAGCGGGCGCTGTGGGAGGGGACTGTTGTTGCCGCCATTGCATGTGGGAGCGTACATCTCAGGGACCTGAGCAGGGAGGCGCGGGAACTGCAAGTGGGAGCGTTTGGTGGTTTTTAAGATCTCCTGGAATGCGGTAGATTGGCATTTTGTAGGTCTCGGTGAAAGAGTTGAATTTTGTTTCACCTCCTTCCCTCCCCTGGTAATGCGAGAGATGCTTTCTCTCTCTCTCTCTCTCCCTCCTCCCCCTCCCCCAAATAATCACTGGCTGTGGCTGGGTTTGGCAGCAAAATGCTAAAGCGAGCAAAGTGCCCTCAGGGACACCTTTCCTTGCCTGTCTCCAAGTGAGGCTGGAAGAGCCACCTCCCTCCCCCAGCTTTTCCTCGGCTGCAGATCTGAGCTCTCTCAATCCTCCACCTGGCATCTGAAAGGCTCTTCTGTCTCTTTGGAAGGTGCAGGTGGGGGGAAGCTTTCAGCCTGGAACCTTTTATTTTGTTATCATTAAGCATTTACATTTTTGTTATAATTAAATAAGTGTGTGTGTGTGTAATTTTTTTATATTTTTATATTAAATATATTAGCTTTTTTTAAAAAATCGTATTAGTGGTCCTCGGGATTTAAAAGTATGAATTTGGTGGTCCCTGGGATCCAAAAGGTTGGCGACCCCTGTTCTAGATTATCTTGAAAATCTATAAGCATCACCTCTGGTTACTACTTGGATAGGAAACCACCAGAAAAACCACCCAGAGCTTTAGATTAGATTGGAAAGTCAAAAATATCCCAGAAAATGGCAACAGCAAATCACTTCTCTACTGATATCAAGAAAACAATAAGAACTTTATGAAGTCACCAGGAATCAATGCTAATTCACATCACTAAATGCTATGAAAAATGTCCTGAAAAAACTTTGCTTAAAGCAAAATTTTCCAACTCTTAAGACTATTCAACCCGCCCTGAAGAACTGCTATTGGTTTTCCACATCATTAATAGAAATGCTGTGAAGGGTTAGAGCTGAAAATTACCACTAACTCCAAATTTATCCTATTATGAGGTGAAAAGAAAATTGTCCAACTGGGAATAGGAAGCTTTGTGACCACACTCATGGGAGAAGGAATTTTTTTTTTGGTCACTCATATTATTCACTAAATAAATGTTCTCACACCAGGTAACTGGCAAAAGCAGAGACTGGGCAAAGAAAATGGGCATACTTAGGTTCCCACTACTAAATAGTGCCATCTTGAGGGACTAAGCAGGCATGCCTTATCACACATCTCAGATTCAGAAGACCTTGACCCTCGGTATCTTCTGAAAGGCTGTGAGGAACTAGGGGGTTAGGGCTGGGGTTTTTTCCCCCTTAGGTCATTAGGGTTATGTTAGTGGAGTTCAAGCTCAACGTACATTTGTCTATTTTTGTGCCTCAGGTTTTCTTTGCTTTGGATTTATTATACAGTTTTATACAGATTTTTTATTGTTTGCTGTCCAGAGTTACGTATTTAAGGTATTTTTTAAAAAATGACAGAAGAAATTACAACTGTTCCTGATCAAGTAGTCCCTTATAGGGGGAAAAAGGGTAGATTTGCACATTGTTTATCCAAGTTCATGATTATGCATTAAATTTGTCTGTCTGTTTCTCCTATATGCATGATTAAAATGCTGACTATAGTTCATTTGGGCATGATACATAAATATTGGACTGTTGCATCATTAAACTAGAAGCCTGATAATGAAGCCACAGAAAGTTAAGAAAAATGATTCTACGGTTTAATGAAACCAAATGAAATCATAGCCCTGTGTTCCTACATCATGCCACCTAGGGCAAAAATACCAGAGATAGCTTATTTGCCATATTCACTCAGGGAAAGGACTAGCAGTCATTGCACCAAGACAAATTCCTTGTGTATCCAATCACAAGGCCAATAAAAAATTATATTCTATTCTTAATAATAAATCTATATAAGCATGATGTGGAAATGTGACTAGAAGAAAAGCTGAAGAAGTCTCCCAAGGCAAAAGAGACAGATGAAAAAACAGCAAAAACAAACTTATCATGCCTAAGATAGGATATGTAGTCAACAAGACATGGGCAATAGATTGTCAACCTCAGCCTCAGTGGCATGCACCTAATCTAATAGGGGTGGAATGCAGTCAGCAATAAAAGTCCAAGCATTTGGGATGTTATACTGTATAAACATGAGTATTATTAGGTAACCAAAGATGAAATCTGCTTCCATCGCAAGTGCAGATATCATGGATTGTGAGAACAGTGATTAATCTTTCCCCACTGGAGCACAAATCGATATATATATATATAAAAACGAAATACCACTCATGCATTATCACAAAATCTCCAGAAGCGTAAAGCCTACAAACTTGAAATTTGGCATGTATGTTCTTCTTGGCTTCTAGGTGCTCACTAAGAAAGGATTTTTCGAAATGACCATCAGAGCATTAGTATTTTGTATATTATTATTAACACGCGTTGATGCTAAGGAGTTCTACTCCTCCTCCCCACCTGAAAAGCAACCTGTTCCAAATGCAAACACAAGCAGAGGAGTTTCAGTTTCACAGCAGCAACCAGCTTTAGTACAGAACAGTTGAGCTAAGCCATGCCCAGGCTCCTTGCTGTCTCCTTCTTGCTCACACAGCAAATACTGCTTCAGTTTCCAAACAGCCCTCAATTCTCACATACTGACAGGACGCTAGCCAGATGAACACTGATGGATGCTGGTAGGCAGAAGCACACTTCCCCCCTTATTTTCCTCCCCCAAAACTAAGCCCGATCACATAGTTTCGTAGCGAAGCACGGGTATAGAGATAATATCTCATATATGCGTTGCTGGATATAGAAGGAATCACATTCAGAGGAGATCAACTGAAATCAGAAGGATGTGGCATGACTTGTTGATTTAAATGAATCTATTTTAGTATGATTAACTCTGAAATCAACTTGTAGCAAAGAGCCTAAGAATGTTTTCAAAACAAGGAAATAAAGAATCACAAGCACTAATATCTTCAAACTGAGATAAAATCTAGAACCACCATAACTACAGAAAACATAAAGGAAACATTTATTAAAGTTGTAATTAATTTTTTATTTTTATTAGCTGCCCAATTATGAATTTGAGATGGCAGCCATATAAACTGCAATAAATAAATGTATTGTACTGTAATAATATACATTTATTTATACATTTAATAATGACTAAATAGTTCGTATACAACAGAAATCTAAGTGTGACACAGAATCATTTCTGCAGAGGTATCTAAAAATTACCATACTTGGCAAGACAGTAAATAAAATGGTCACAAGATCAATGAAGAAAACCAGGACACAAATCCTTCCACAATCCTTGGAATACAAGCATTTGTTCAGTAACTGTTCAAACTTATGATGGCACTGAATGAATGTACCTATGATGGATCCTTGTAGTTCCAGCTTTTGAAATGTCATGTTCACAATTTCTAACATTTCCAGCTGGCTTCCCACAAGCAAAATCAATGGGAATACTGTCAGGAAGTTGGAAATCGCAGTCATGAGCGGTCCTTGCTTACTGGCAGCCACCAGGATGGCGGGAATTGCCATAGCTAAACAGTGTGGTCACGTGAAATTGCCCTTTTGACCATGTCACTTAGTGACACAAATTCTAGTTCCAACTGCTGATGTAGCCCAAGGACTACCTACCTGTATTCTAGCTGAGGAATTAAAATATCTTTGAAGATAATTACTAAAAGAGAAGACATGATAAA